GAATTTGCCTTCCCAGCTGGTGGCTGTTCAGGTGGCTTTTTTCTTTTTTCTCTTAGAACCACAAAGTTGCACGTGTATATGTGCAAGTGTGTGGCTGGCACACATTTGTCGGCATACTTGTAGGAAAGACTCCTAAAAGTGACGTTTCTGGGCCCAGGGCATAATCACTTTTAATCCTCGTGGCTACTGAGAACCTGCCTTTTGTAAAGGCTGCATTAGTTCCGGCTATCCCAGTAAGAAGGCGTGTTCCCCATGCCCTCATTCACCCTGGAGACTCACCCTTTCAATCGGCGACAATCTGATGGGCAAAAATAGGTATCTCTTTTTAATTGGTATTTCTCCAATGACTGGTAATTTCAGATCTTTCCCTATGGTTATGGTAATCTGTGTTTCTCTTTTTCATAATCATATTAGTGTATTTATAGTTTTCTCATTTATTTCTTACGTATTGATGTGAAATCTTTACACACTATGGTTTCGCATCTTTGTCTGTTACGTGTTGCAACTATTTCCCCCAGCCAGTCATTTCTTTAAACTTCACCATGAGTTTCTCTATAGATGCTATAAATTTTTATGCCATCAAACACTCTCTTTTTCCTTTATGGCTTCTAAACTTCCTGTTTGATTGGGAAGGTCCTCTTTAATATTCTAAACATACTCTTTTCCTAAGATTTTTGGAGTTTGTATTTTATATTAGATCTTTATTTGTTCTGGATTTTATTCCTCTTTTGGTCTGACACAGCACATGGAACATGTGATATTGACTGAAAGGTGTCCATTTTCTGAACTAAGGTCTGATTTAAAAATTCAGGCAAGGATGAGAAAGATCTCAGTTGTATGAAACAGAGCATGGAATTACTCTCTGTAAAAGTAAACTCCAGGCCAGGTGTGCCTGGAATCTCAGCACTTTGGGAGACCGAGGCGGGGGAACTGTTTAAGGCCAGGAGTTCAAGATCAGCCTGGGCAACAGAGCAAGACCCTCTCTCTTTTATTTATAAAAAAAAAAAAAAAAGTAAAGCCCTCACCATCTTTCTTTTTAAGGGCACTGCCTTCTTATGAACCTGCCACACATGTGGGTACTGCCCTGCCCTGCTGGGACATCTGCCCCATGCTGTTGCCCCGAGGCTGATTCAAACATGAGTCATGCCCGGCCGTGGCAGGTACGTCTACGGCACACGGGTGAGCGGTGGCCTGGGGGTTCGTGGGCACCCTAGTGGCACGGTGCCTGGGGCAGGTCAAGGTCGCGGGCGTACTCCGAGGCGGTGGGAGCAGGAACACTGTCCCCAGGACCCTGCGAACAAAATCAAGTGGCCCCGAGGGGAGCCCTGGGGTGGCGGCAGCCTGATGAGGGCCTGAGCCACGAGGGCACTCAGTCCTGGGCACAAGAGGCAGCACTTCCTGCAGGCAACAAAGACCCAGGGACACCCGGGTCCCAGAGCCACCATCCTCACCGCCCAGTCATCTCACTGCAGCAGCCCGGTCCCTGGCTGCGGGCGAGGGTGGCCCGTGTGCTCCTGAAGCCTCCCCGAGGGCGCCAGGGCCTAGTGCGGGGCCCACACGTGCATCAGAGCCTGCTCTGGGAACTCTGGGCAAAACCCATACGTGGAAACAGATCCCTTCTCGCCTTTAAGTCACGGGAGCCAGAACACTAGCAGCCGAAAAGATGAGCATCGTGCTCTCTTCAGGGCCACACGCCGCCCCGGGCAGGGCCCAGGAGAGCCTCAAAGTGACAACTGCAGTCAACAGGTTCTTGGAAACGTGTGTGAGGATTCCCAGACCCTGACCCTGCACTGAGATGCCCTCTCCCTCCGTGACCCTCTTCGAGCTCACGAGGGGTGTGTGGCGACCCCCCACCTGTCCTCCCACACCCTCTCAGTCATTTTAAACAGGAGAATTCCACCAAACGCCCACAGCCCGTTTTCACGTGGCACGGCAGGGGGTGGCTGTGGTGCGTGGAGCGTCCACAGAAAGGAAAGATGCCTGGGGTTTGGGTTTGTTTCTAGGGGTGGGGAAGGAGTCGGCTGGAAAGGGGAGGCTAAGAAGAGAATGAATTCTGGAAGAGCTGCTGAAACAGAAAGTTTGGAAAAATAAAACCCGCAGGAGTAGCGGCATTCTTAGAAGATGAATCGGATGCTTTGGGGCTTCCAGGACGCTACGCGCCTAACACGGATTCTGGCACAGACGACGGGTCGAGTTTCCTTGTTCAATAGCAACGGATGTCCACAGAAGAGGGCCAGAAAGCAGGGCACGCAAGGAAAGAAGTTGAGGCCAAAGTCGAACGTTCACATCCCCCTTCTACGGCGCCGTAGTTCATGACGCTGTAACAGATGAGTCACTGCAATGGAAATACCGGTTACTTTTTAATACATCTAGCCTAAAACTTACAGGAAGGCATCCTAGCACCTTTTTATTATTGTGCAGCAGTGACAGTGACGACAGTGATGATGGCATCTCTCTATTTTTACGGAAACCTCTCCAGGAAATCCCAGGCTGCACGCTGGAGAATTACGGGAACAGAAGCAGCGGTGTGAAGTCTGTGGGTCCCTCCCTGGTTCAATGAGGAGCTGAACTGAATCATGCCAGAGGCACGAGTGTCTGCGCTATTTTTAAAGAGCTCCGGGGAAGTGCGGTTGTCCCACCTTAGGCTCCTCGTATAACACTCATTTCTATTTGTGGGATGGTTAACACCGTCTTCCATGTGGTCTTTCCGCCACTGATACATTACCCTTCAGCGAAGTCCTATTTCTACAGTTTACTTATTTTTAAGCTCCAGATGTGTAACGTGTGCCCTCGAAGACCCTATCACGGGGCAGGGGGCACGGTCCGGACCCCGCACGCGTTCCTCTCTTTCCCCAGGCCACGTACGCACCTTGGCAAGAATCCAGAAAACGTTCCACGCAGAACATTGTGACGTCACAGAAACGGCCACCCCTTGGCCACGAAGCCCTCGCCCCACCCTGCGTGGTCACTTCCTACTCCACCGACCGCAGCTCCCCCCTCGCGCCCCGACGTGCTGGCCTCTCCCGGAGCCCCAAGCCTGCCGCAGAGCCTCCCCTCCAGGCAGCCGCTTCCCCTGCACGCTCCTGCCGCGCCGCTGGGACACACTGGCCCTCCCACAGGTGGCCGGGCCTGCCTGGCTTCTGCACAGTGAACTTGTCGCGTTTCCTTCCTGTCTCTGTCCTCCCCAGCGGAGACGGGCGTGGTGGCGAGATGACAGCCTCAGCGGTGTCTTACTCTTTATTTATGGCTCCGTGACACGTTCAAAGTGCTGAATGTTCCTAAAGGCTGGTAAATTCTTTCCAAGATCCTCCAGAGACTGGGCGGCGGTGGTGGCAGGAAGACGGGTGGGGGCAGGAGTTGGAATCTACTTAGACTATAATTGCCTCAAGTTTGTGAACTGTTAGTATAAAAATACTCTTGGAGATTTTAATGGTTGAATGAAGATTCACACTCATTAAACACCACGGTTGAGGGGGAAAATTCAGCCTGTGTTACAAGAATGACTTCACAGCTTGAAGTACAGAAGCAAAACAATAAGAGCTATCATCATACTGATTACATGATATATTTTGAATTTTATTTTCCTTGGAGGTGGGTTGGCTGCTCTACCGTACGGTACAAGTGGAACGGAAGGGAAAAAAGCCACGTGACAGAAATACCCAGGTTTATGGTGTCACCTGCTGGCTCTACCTTCCTTTAAAAGCTCTTTCCTAAGCCCCGATGACGGGTTCACTGCCTTTGGGGCCTTCCTGTGCAGCTCGGAACCCTGTTGCAGCACTTACGACTGCCTTGGAGGTATCCATTCTCCGGCCTTCTTCCTCTACAGAGCGAGCCCTGGGTCAACGCCTTGTTCGTCCAGTGTCTCAGCAGGTAGCGTGCGCCTGGCGCGAAGCTGGCGTCCCCCACTGAGAAGCTGGTGGAGAAGCCCTAAGAAGGAAGGGACCCCAAAGGCCTGAGCTGCTTCAACAGCGTCTAGCACAGGCACGTGTTCTCCCAAACACTTCCCGGCGCCTTCGGTGCTGCTGGAGTTTTGCTAAAGGTTTTCATCTTTTGCAACAATTATTCAAAAAAGGCTACTAGTCTAAGAGGGTGTGCTCTGTCACTGAGAAAAGAGCCTCCTGGTTGCGCGGAGCGGCTGTTTGCAGCCATGTATTTATGGGCAACATTTGCATGATAATAGAATGAGGAAACGGTCCCTATGATCCGCAGGAGGAGAGATGACCGTGGAGGCAGGTGTGGCCCCGGCACCGCGACCTGATACCGGCCCAAGGCCAGGTGCCCCGGACGGCACGGGCAGGCGGGCAGCCGCCAGCAACGCCCGGACGGACCAGGGAATCCCTCGAATTCAGACTCCACGAGCCCGTCCGGCTGGAGCGGCATCTCCTCGCTTTACGAAAGCCCCAGCGTTCATCCGCTACAATTACTTCTCACCACGCATTTTAGAACCTAGAGTTTCATGATCTCTTCAGAAAGAAATTTACCTAAATATGTTCCGATCAAAGATGACTGACAGGATTTTCTAAAAACTCAGCAGAGGAGTAAGAGCAATTATAAACCTTTTAAAAGTCTATCCCTCCGCCATGCTATAAATGGAAAAAAATACATACATAAGCCATAATTCCCCCTATAGGATTCATTTAAAATCCACCCTCACCTCCACCTCCACATTATTAATTTAGGAAAGTGCATCAGAAAAAAAAACACAGCTGCACATGGAATGGAACCTTCATTTCCACAGGGGAGAGAGCTGGCTTCGGAGGCTCTCATCCCACAGCCAGTCTGTCTGTCTCTCACTTTCTCTCTCCCTCTCTCTCTCCCCCTCTCAGAGTCACAGTTCTCCTTCCTAATAGCTGCTGTCACTAGGTGGATGACCCAAGAAAGTGTTCAATGAACCAGCCACATCCTGATAAATACCTTTTCTTTAAAATGCAGTTTTCAGCTCCTGAAGGTCAAGAAAAAGGACCTATGAACAAGCGGCGAACTTCCAGGGGAGGTCTCAGCCTCACATACAGACACTGGAAAAAAACAAAACTCCAAAGCTACAACCCGTGTGCTCATGCATATAACCCCTCCAACAGGAACAAACGATTCCGGGTTTGAAAGAGGAGGAAAAAGCATCTTCCTAAAGGGAGTCCCACCCTGAAATGTTCCAAGCTGACAGACCCCTGTTAGGGAGAAACAAACTTCTCGAGAAAGAGCTGCTCCTCTTCTCAACTCTGTCCTCAGACCAAACTCCAACAAGAGCCACAGCAAACCCGAAAGAGCATGCATCATCCACAGCAGTTCTTGGGAAATGTACCTTTTTTTAAGAACAGGTCTTTGAACTGAGCCTCCTTCAGTGTGCTGTTGTTCGGGTGGTCACTGGACATAATCAGGTCCTCTGCAAGTGGGAGTTCAACTGTGACGCAGCCCCCCACGTTCAAAGCATCCCTCCGGCTGCCGGCAGTCTCCTCTCCAGGCAGCTCCGAGCTGCAGTTATAGCTGGTGTGGGGTGTGGGAGAGTGTGTGAGCGTGGAGGGGGGGGTGCTTCTGTCTGCCTCGTTCACTCTCTCTCTACTGTATCAGCAGGGCCCACCCCAGGTGCTAGACTCGAATGCTGTGGCTCCGACCGCAGACTGTGGCTACCAATTATCAACTGCCATCACCAGAAACCAGCAGCTCTGCGGCAGGAAGCCGGCGTGTCACCGAGCAGAGGAAGTCCAGGGTCTCCGATCCTGAGACCGGCTGTACACCTAGGGCAGTGCTGTTTACGGCAGCGTCTATCGGTGAGCAGTCCGCACGTCCCGGGTTTGGCCTGACACCTGGACGTGTCACACACACAGGCAAGCAGGACGCAGCTAGACGGCTCATCTTGTCTCACTGTGCTCGATAATCTTTTCAACAGGCAAATGTCAAACCAGTCCAGACAGAAAGGAGGAAATCGGCAAGTCTCACACAATACTCCTTCCCTCGATCTCTGCGGGAAGCTTTCGGCGCAGAAGGGCTGGAGAGAGCGCTGACCAAGGCAGGAGCCGCGACAGGCAGGACACCGCGTTAGGCTCGCGTGCTTCTCCCCTGCAGCTCCGCTCCCAGAGTGTGCTCGCCCGGCTGGGAGCACCCACAGCGCCCCTCAGGCTGCGAGCCAGGCTGGGGCTGTCCTCTCCTGGTGCTCCCTCTCCACATCCTCTAACTGATGGGAGCAGCTCCCAGCGGCTCTTGCCGCCGAGCTCTGTACTGGCAAGGGGTGAGGTCCTAACCACGGCAGGAAACAGTGCGTGCTCCTCTCCCTCCGGTCCTCTCTTCCCTCTCGACTCTCCCATTCCTTCCCTCTCCCTCTGCCTCACATCACTATTCCCCATGTACGGCAGCACACACACGCCAGAGACTCCTTCAGAGTCAGGACGCTCAGTGTTCCTAGGCAGTTTTAGTCTGTAAGGATCAGGAATTAGAGAACAGAATCCCAGGCAATTCAGACATGAAAGCAGACACGTGTCTCAGGAGGCCGCCTTCTCCCGGTTCATTTTGTTCGAGCGCAGTCTCTTTTCCC